CAAGCAATAGACGAAAATTCAGTATGAATTAGGGGTCTCAGGACGATGCTCAAAGTAATTATCGGCACGAATCCATCACAGCTCAGAATCAATTCTCCTTAGTGGGATGAAATATCTCTCGGTTTTTTATTAGTATTTTTGAGTAAGCTACTTGTGTTCTCTTCGTTTATACAATAATGTAAAAGTAGTTCCGTTTCAACATTTCAAGCAGCTGAATCTATAATTGGCATTACTAGACATATTGATGTACATAAATGCATATTACATAGATAATAAAATGAATGTAAAGATTGTTTCGGAAGTTGTTTGACTTTGTTTTCGCAATTTAGTCATATTGGCAGGAAGACATATAGGAACTCACATTGTCCGAAGTCCATAGTATGCATGATAATTTCCAGAGTTGAGCCATAGGTTTGGGTATATTTCCAGAAGTTTTGCCGGCATCGTCGGTGAGTCTTGCCATTCTCAGCACCAAGCTACATCTCGTCAAAGAGATAAGTGAAGCCAATCGTTTGATCAGCAAAAGTAGTTTCTGCAAATATCTAAGGTAAAATTACTATTTATGGTGGGATTGTCGATGAAGCGAGTTATAGTTGCTATAGTACTCGACAACATTACTTATTTTTAGTTTGTAAGTAGGATCTCGAGACTGCCAGTAAATCATATATATGACCAGCAGAAAGTTGGTTAAGTGATTGACTTCATCTATCTCTTTGACGAGTTTTAGCTTGGTACTGAGAATAGCAGGACTCACTGGCGATGCCGGCGAAACGTCTGGTAATGTACCAAGTCCACGGTCCGACTTCGGAAAGTATCATGCATATTATAAACTGGGGTCAAAATGCGTTCCTCTAGGTCTTCCTGTGAATATGACCAAGCTGCGAAAACAAGGTCAAACAACTTTCATACAATGAAAGGAGACCGCGAGCATGCAAAAGGTCATACCCTCCTGGTCCTCATATCTTATATTCTTCTTATCGATTATATTTTGTTATTTGGCTCACTTTCTTAGTATCCCTCTCTATACCGCCTTTCTCTACACAAACGCATTGCATATGATTGCGTACACATTTGCTCTCGCTCTCTCCGTATGCCTCCATTTTTGTTATCTATCTGAAGACCTCTACGTTGCACCATGCTACTATTATCCAAACCGAGCCGGGACCATGGAGAAACCGTCTTTTATGATTGGCGTGGATCTTAAGACAGGTGAACGACCGCCGGAGCATTGGATTAAAAGGAGTACTGCTCTCCTCATGAACCTGGACACATAGGACAAGTAAAAAGGGAAAAGGAACCGGTGACCAGAACGATCTGGCAAGGCCTATTTGTTTTTTATAGAATCTCACACTGGTTCCAATACAGGTTGCAGAAAATATGATTTCTTTGTACTTTGTCTGGTTAGCCTCCTTCATGCTCTTTATGTCAAGGTATTAATGTTTCACCTCAATGCTTTGGTTGATTGGAGTTTATTTAAAATAAATATTGATCCAGAACAAAAGCAATATTTCGATTTTTATGTTTCAATCCAATTCAAAACCCTGTTTTCCTATTCTAAATAACCTGGGATGTTAAGTTTTTTATTTGCGTGTTGACATATCTTTCATCATTTTTTTACACTATTATTGCTACAAGGAAGATTCATTCATAGCATTTTATAAACAAACAGTACTAGTCTACCAGTGACGTGTACAATACGTTTAAGATAAGTATAGCCATTACAAACTCCCCTTGTGGTGGCGAAGGATTCAAAAAAGTAATATGCATTTCTCATTACAGAAGAAAACTTCATTTGAGACATATTTCTTAGGATTAGTAACCATATTGTTGTTATTTTTATGTTCCACCAAGGAAGAGTAAGTCGTTTTAGAAGCATGACCAAATTAAATTCGGTGGCGTGGTGTGGCCTTCTCATTTAATCGTGGTTAGCCCGGCATCAAGATGTGCGATCCCCTGGTATTCTATTGTGACTTTCATCATCTGATGATTCCTCCATAAAAGCTCTCAACTTTACATTTGACCTTAATGTATTGGTATTATTCTCCTGCAGGGTCAATAAAAATACATAAAAATAAACAAAATTCTAAATATTGTTGTAACTTTGTGTTAACGATGGAGCTTCTTACTGACGACGTCGGTGAAACGTTTGGGAATGTACCAAGTCAGTAGTCTGATGCTGGAAATCACAAAAATTATGGCAAAATACTAATTTTTTCCAGGTATTATCTTTAATAAGTCTATTTGCTTTAAATAATTTTCGGAAATTTCAGGTTTCCCACTCTGATGATTGATTAGGAAATAAATGGCTGAATTTGCAATCAAAATTATCTTAAGTAAGCTCAATGCATTTTTTGACATGACTCTCCATTTCGAAGGGAAAGTTGGTTGGAAGGAATTCGTGACGTGGTCTCACCGGAAACCAAAGGAGGATTGTAGCGTAAGGAAGATTGTTAAATTGTACGAAGAAGTCCTCGGATCATCTTCCT